TATGCTAATCTTGAGGAAAATAAACTTTCTTCTTTATGTACCTCCATTACTCATTTATTTTGCATCAAAACTGTTCAATCAGTTCTGCCCCACCCTGTATAAGCTAGCTAACACATTTAAATTGTATATTGTAATCAATATATAACAAATAGTCAAATAGTTAAAGACTACTTATAGCCTTATAAGAATTAGCTAAGCTGCTAGCTACGTACAAAGTATTGCACACTTGATGCCTCTGTACCAAAAACATTTAATTTATTGAAACCTAATACACACTAAAGGCAACAAGTTTATATACCAATTTGTCATTCATAGTACATTTATACTAAACCATGAATAACAATACCTCAGTATAAATTAAAGACTGCCACTTAATATATTTAAATATATGAAAAAATCAAAAAAATCAAAAAAATCGAAAAAATCAAAAAAATCATGATTTTTTTATAAAAAAATCAAGTGATTTAATCACATGATTTAATCATTTTGATTTAATCATTGCCAACCCTGTTTCTAATTCAATTTTTTTCATTTATATCACTGGTTGCAAATGGTTTGATTAACTTGTTATAATTTCCCATAGACGCCGCGTTGATTGGCGGCAGTTCAGCTGTGCTCGACTCGCTTCTTAGCAATACTCTGCCTGCCTCGGTGACTGTGAAAGATCCATGTTTGGAGGTTCTGGCGCTGGTTAGAGTGCTGTCAGTGCTTAATAGACACTACCACAGCCTCTATCCCCCTGCGCCTACCAAACTGCCTCTGCCCATGACGGACTTCCAGAACGTCAAGCTGACCGCTAAAGCGAACCGGCAACTGCAAGATCCACTTGTTATTATGACTGGAAATCTGCCCCCGTGGTTACCGCAGATAGCATACGCCTGGTAAGATCGATTAATTGTACTTAAGGCCAATGGGTATTCCAGTGCAATAAAATTTGCTCTGTAGCAAATAGGTTGCTCGCTAAAATTATCTTGCTCTTCGGAAATATTGTAGAACTGTCATTTATTGCGATTTTCGTTTTATTTTTCATTTTCAGATTGGTGTAAATGATTCTAGCAAATGTTTCTTTATGGTATTTTCTTGCTGTGCAGCCCATTCCTCTTCCCCTTCGAGACCCGTCAGCTGTTGTTCTACGCGGTGTCGTTTGACAGAGATCGCGCTATACAGCGCCTGCAGGAAACCAATCCTGAACTTAATCACGGTGACTCGACAGAACGTGTCACTCCTCGTCTCGATCGTAAAAAGAAAACTGTTAGCCGAGAAGACATCCTCAAGCAGGCGGAAAGCGTCATCAACGATCTTGTGCCATCCAAAGCTTTGTTGGAAATCCAATACAGTGGCGAAGTTGGTTCGGGTTTGGGCCCAACTCTTGAATTCTATGCCATCGTTTCCAGGGAAATGAAGAAGGCGGAACTAGAATTGTGGAGAGGACAGTCTGTTGCTGTTGAGGAAGAAACTGTTGAGGGATCTTCAAAAACTGTTAAATATGTCCATGCTACAACTGGTCTTTACCCAACGCCTCTGCCCAAGACGATGAAGTCTGCTGCCATGAACAAAATTAAACAAAAGTTCAAATTCCTAGGCAAATTCATGGCAAAAGCCGTCATGGATTCGAGAATGGTGAGTCGAGCATTATTATCTGCTGTCATGTATTAACGTTTTTTTTTCTCGGTAATTCACCCTCATTGAATGCGTATTATTTTTGGCTGGCCTTTGTGATGGCTTATTGACATGAAACTTGTAAATTGCTTGCATGTCAGTGTTTTATTTTTATTACAGTTTTAACGTTTTAAGAGGTGTGGCAATGCGCTGCAGAGCGTCGGCCTGAATGTCATGTTTTTGCCGCAGGTCGACTTGTCTTTGCACGAGTGTATGCTCAAGTGGATGCTGGGAGAGGAGCGTTCGCTTGGCCTAGCAGATGTGCTCTCGTTGGACCCAGAGTTCGGCGTTACGTTGAGACAACTGCACGCTTTAGTGTTGCAGAAGAGGCGCGTTCAAGACCAAGCCAGAGTTCAAGGTTACTCCACGCAGCAGCTCGAGGTGAGGACAATTTCGCAATGCATTTCATTTAATTCCGTTTGAGCTGGTATTGCATTTAATTGTCGTTTGCATTTGCGATATCCTTGTGTACCATCTACTATTCTCTACTAACAGATATCTCTTTTCAACATAGTAGGTGATCTAAAATTCTTTGTATTTATGGCTTTTGAAATTCATTTATTTTATTATTTCCATTATTTATTTAATGCCTCTTGTTTCCTTCTTATTTTTGTATCTTCATGCACACAGAACGATGTTAGAAACATAACTCTGGACGGCTGCAGCGTGGAAGATCTGTCTTTGAACTTCACACTCCCAGGCTACCCAAATATTGAGCTCAAGAAAGGAGGCGCTGACATATGCGTCACCATCGATAATCTCGACCAATATCTCCAGGTTTGCTACTTTTAAACATTAGAATCATCGAAACCAAATTTAGTTAATTGTTCTCTGAAGACAAAGAGTCCTTTTTTAGATAAATGCAGGCATTGCGTTCTGAAGAGTTTTGGTTTACATTCCTAGGCTAGGATGTCTTAAGTGATCATCAAATTCTCGGTGCTCAATTTCTAATTTAATACGACGGTGTCTTGTTTCCAGCATCAGAAGTTTTTCGCTAAAATCTTGGTATACCTCGTGTTCGCTTTGTTTAACCATAGGTCCCTAATTTGTTTTTGATACGTAATTTTAAGTTGATGAATTCATGCGTTTTTTTTACAAAATTTACTTTTCATGGTTACGATTGGAATCCTTTGTTAATGTCTAAAATTTTGCATTAACAGTTGGTTGTTGAGTGGCTGTTGCGGGAAGGAGTCTGGCGTCAAATGGAAGCCTTCAAGGAAGGTTTCGACAGCGTGTTTCCTATGAGCCAGTTACAGGTGAGCACTGAGCAGCTAAAGTAATTTAAATAATACAATCGATCAATCACATGATGATTGAATTTCACGTGATTACTTATACATGATAATTTTACAAGTGTGAAAAGTCCGATTGCACTATTTTTGATCAAGCTGGTGCAAGTGAAATACGTAATCAATATGACTTGAGTGTCACCAATTCAATTCTTTATTACAACTAAGGTACGCTGTAATTACTATATTAAATACACCTCTATCATGCCATCATTTCTTATTGCGTCGCACCTCGGAATGATAGAACAGTACAATTATGCTACCTATATGTTATGTTTTTCCTAATGTTACTTCGGTACCATAATGTAAAATCATTTTGTTCTGTTTGTTGCAGGTGTTCTACCCGGAAGAGTTGGAGCAAGTGTTCTGTGGCAGTAATGCTCCGTCACACTGGGACATCAAAGTGCTGGCCGAGTGCTGCAAGCCCGACCACGGCTACACTCATGATTCTCGGGCCGTCAAGTACCTCTTGCAGGTCGGTTTTTGCTTTAGTGAACTAAGGGAGGCGAGGGATGCATTTACATTAATATCAAAGCAATTTTTTATGACATAAAATATTACCTATATGCGTTAGTCGTTTAAGCGAATCGTATTTATTTTGTATGAATCAGTTTCAGTTTAATTCCATAGAAAGAAGTAACTAGAAGTGCTCAACATGTATTGTACCTATATTCATTTTTTATAGATGGAAATCTTGCCTTTCATCAATTGTGTAAAAATACGCTGAAATCTCGTTCATAAAATCGAAGCACATTGGCATTTTTGAAGCTCATTAATATTGAAGTAATATCTTGTGAATTTCCTAGTAGACAGAAATTTTTCGCACTGATACTTATATTTTAAGAAACATTTTTCACTAATGTTTTTAATGCTATAGATTTTACTAAACTTGTTGGATTGGTATACATGCATTTTTTAATGAAGTTGTAACCAAATTATTTAGAACGTTTAGAATACTGTTTATTCATGGAATACGTATCTCATGGCGCATTATTAAGGTGCGTAAAGTACTTTACATTGGATGTACAGTCTCTGAACATCTCTCATAATCATGATATGTTCGATGTGCAGATTTTGTCCGAATATTCGGCTAAGGACCAGCGGAATTTCTTGCAGTTTACCACTGGGTCTCCCAGATTACCTGTTGGAGGTGAGTTACGTGTTACTTATCTTCCATATCTGCATTTAAGCTTTAAATTTTTACTCCTTCTCTACATTCATGTTTAAATATTATTGGTTACCATATTAGCAATTAGCCATTGCCAAGCAATTTAAATGGGTGCTGAAAATGTGTTGCCATTTCTGGGTGAGATTATCTTACGGATCTTTTCTTCATGCTGGCTAGTAAGGAAGCGCTAATCTAGTACCGTAGTCATTTCTGTGAAATTTTAAGTAACCGTACTACTCACCTATATGTACATATGAAACTGTTTTTTGAATTATAACTTTTGAAGTACACGATTTTATACTGTGCGATTGATGACCAGAGAATTCGTTGATTTATATTATCAGGGAGTGGATCGGCGATGGCTGAACCCCTCATCTCTACATATTGGACTCCAGCTATCTATTTTCTGACTACCGGATTTGTCTGAACTCTGAAAGAATTTTCCGAGTAATTTTGGTTCAAAATTTTACTGTTGTATGCTATTTACATATATTATGTATTTATTTCCACCAAAATTTCAATATTTAATGATTCTTCTAACTTGAAAATGAATGTTAGTTGCATTCGAAACGTCGTTAATTAACAAAAACAACTTCCTGAAACTTGCCTTTTAATCTACCGTCATCTGAAGAAAAGTTCCACTCCCTGATAATATAAATCAACGAATTCTCTGGTCATCAATCGCACTTGTATAAACAAGATTTTATACTGACGAATGAATCTCGTTTTTTTAATTCTTATTCAACATTCTCTAATTTTTCAGGATTCCGAAGTCTCACGCCGCCTCTAACAATCGTTCGTAAGACGTTCGAAGCCAATGAGAGCCCTGATGATTTCCTGCCATCAGTGATGACCTGTGTCAACTACCTCAAGTTACCCGACTATTCTACTTATAAAATTATGAAAGATAAACTCGACTTTGCCATCAGTGAAGGGCAGCACAGCTTCCACCTATCTTAAAGGCATTTTTTATTACCAGGCATGTGTGTTCAACTGCTATCTAATGTGTTAAAACTTCTTATGGTTTGGCTTTGTCTTGTGTTATTAGGCGAACCTATATTAATGCAGAGGTTGAAAGATGAGTTGTGTGCAATGAAAATATTGTAAAATGTTGACATAGGATGTTCTAAATGACCGTGACATGTTTTGAATGTAAGTAGTTAGTATTACTTCCACTGATCAATTCACAAGGGGTTTCTGCTTCAATGTTATCATCGGAGGAGAAATTGCCTTTAAGGATTCAGTGTTGCAGGCACTATCGGTAGTGAACATTAATCAGCAGCCATCACTAGCATGTGTCGTCACTGTGGCAAGTCAATGCCCCATGTTTCCGGGTGCAGAAATTTATACGAAAACGAGAGAAATGGGTATTGTTTTGGTCTCAGCAGCATTACATCGTCGATTGAGTTCAGATGTTCCAAGTAGTATTAATTTTTGTAATTTACGATATAGTATTTGTTTTACTTGTGTACGGTTGGTTTCCACCTAGAAAGGATCTAATTAACTCAACAAAAGGTCGATCAAACCATTGCTTTTCGTCCTACTTCATGAAACTGGCATTTAAGTTAAGACAAAAATCTCAGTGACTTCAGTTTTTGCATCTCGTAATATTAGTGTGATTGTGGCAGGCTTCGTTAAGTCATCGTTACTTCTACCTAGTAAACTTTTGTGAATATTTAATCATGATAGAAGCAGTCACGCGTTGTACGCTGGATCTGCAATGTACAGTTCTTCATGCATTGTAGTGCTGTCGTAGACTTTTTTCTTCGCTTCTAAGTTGTGTAAATGCTGTAAATAAACTAGCATTAAAGTGTCTTTCAGTGCACCAGGATATTGGTTTACTGCCACGCACTTTACTCCACAGAGTTTAATGGGCGAGAAACTTTCTCGGTTAGCGAACTTCTTCTGCCTTATTCTCCATTGCCAGGCTCATGGTCTATCGCTTATGCGCTCGACTCGTGAACGATTTTTTCCGTCATTGCTGAATTCATATTCATTCTGTTCACAAAGACCAGCAGCAATTGATTCTATGCGTGGGTGCCTAAAATGGGAGTTGATTATAAATATAAATGAAGTCAAAATTTCTGACACGAAAGGAAAAGAAAGTATTCATTGTTTATTTATCATGGCATAGCTATTGTTTAAAACTATTGTGATATTTCATGTTGCTTCTCATTGTTCGTCGTTCTTAAAAACATTTTTTTTGACAGAAAATTTGTGATTGCTAATTATCATTGTCGGACGCGCTTCCTACAGGATTTGACAGCAACTCAAAGTATTGCAATGAAATTAAAAGCTACCTTCACTTGAGCTTTCTTAGCTTCATCTTATATGAATTGTTTGAACGACTTCACTATTATTTTAAAGTATCGGCTAATAACAATTTTTAAGCTCGGATCATTTTTTCATCGTACTTCACCGTGACTTCGTTTTCAAAATGAATTTTTCAATTCATTGTACGGCTTGTTTCAGAATCTCGTTTGCATCGTCTTTTTTTTCTCGTTTCTAATGCAGTTCCCTATAATCCGACGGTTGACTTCCGTTGCAGTAAAGATTGTGCATTGTAGCTTTCCGATATTTTAGTGTTTGTGGAAATATATTTTACTATCATCTGCAGGCGGTTCAGCCTGGAGTGGGTGGAAGCCTTGGCTAAACGGTTATCCACTACTTTTGCTGTCTAGCAAACAATGAAGTTCAGTGAAAATGGCCAATACTTGTAGCACTGTTGGCGTGTTCTTTCTCTTGAACTGAGTTAGCCGCACGAGTGAGTGCACTGAGGAGTAATGCGATAGTTTCTATTTTTCATTTTATTATAGTATTTGGTAGGATAACTTGAACAGGTTGAGGGATTCTTGTTCACGGCAAGTTTTCTACTGTCTGGTCTGAATTACGCAGTTTGAATTGAATTAGTATGGTTTTCCGGCTTCATTTCTGCGGATTGATTTTCAACGTTTTCCGTTATTATTTTCGTAAGTTTGCAAACGACTTCCCTCGCTGGCTCGATGCGTGCTATGCGTTCAGAGCTTGAACGCTAAAAACAATATGGCTCCAGCTCTAGTGTGTAATGCACTTGAAGAAAGATCGTTCCATTTCTTCATTTGAATTTCGCATTTTTGCTTATTTTGTAGAATTTATTTGAACTAAGTTATCGCGTGTTATGACTTTAACCCTGCTGTTGTATACTCGGGTAAACAGCTCATATCTATTAGTGCATATAATTGATGACAGCAGACGTGTCCCTTTGCATCTGTACCTTATGATAATGTAAAGGTGTGAGTAGCTTTTCTAGTTGTCTTCACCTTTACTTCTTGGTTACATTCGCTTGCATTATCACCATGTATTGGTCATCAAGTGCAACATGTTTTCGTTCATTTCAGAAAGTTATTTCGCCAGAGTTTTAGATTCCTTTGCCGTCTGGAAAGCCTGATCTTAGGCCATTCATTTGAATACGTTTTTGCTTTGCTGTTTGGCTGGAAGCGTTTACTCTTGCCATTTTACTGTGTTGGAATAAAATTCATTTTATTGTGTATGCGAATAGCTTCTGTTTGTATCTTTGGCATTACATAAATATACAGGAAAACTCTAATTGTTATTTTCATTTGTTGCATCCCAAGCTGGAATGAGAGGAGTTCAAAAGCCAATTTTACTATAGGTAAGAACTTTTATTTATCAACCTAGTAATAGCTATCTTACTAGGCAAAAAAATCATGATAATCAGTGTGAATCGGGGGTTTCGAAAGAGTAACTAAAGACGAATACGGTCTCCAAAACGTTTTCAGTGGAAAAACGGTGATTTTTAACTTTTGTTTTTGGATTATTTTTTAATAGGCGAGTCGAGTAATAAAATGATCTTAATTACATTTCAAGCATCGATTTTAAATGTATACATAGTCGTTATTGTTTGCATAGTTGTCTATAAAACACTTAGTCGCCTATTGCGCAGTAAATCGGTTATGAATTACGCGTTAACTCTTACCATCCATGGAGTTTATTCATGACCCGTGCAAAACTTGAATGCGGACGACGCTGAAGTGCCGGACAACTGATCAACGGATTTCCGCGGCGAAGCGAATTACGTGGGTACTGGGTAGCATCAGCTCGTGTCGAGTCGTATATAACATAGATGGTGCAATATTGAGGACAATCCCCTAGGTGAAACGAAAAAGAACGCACCTGATATGTGATATATATACATAAGTAGAGATCAAAAGCTGATACTATCCTGGTTCGGTGTACCTAGCACCACCAGGCCAATACAGCAATACTTTGCTCTGTCTAACCGTGCTTGGATCAGCACAACCCGCGCCATGTTTTTGAACACTGGACGCTTGTATCTCAGATGGAATATTATACGGAGAGTGCGGTTTGGTCAAATAACAAAGAAAAATTAATTTTTCACTGCATAAAGCCACTCCGATAGAGCAATACTTCTCACGCTCTTACAGTGATTATAAGACCAGAAGCACAGCCGCGTCGACTTTAAGGATTGCTCAAGTTACTTGTTGATTGGTTTGGTAAACGTTCGAAAAATTATTACAAAAATCCGCCGCTCCTTGGTGCACGAGACAATCACATTTGTTTTCATTCGTCACTACTCGCTCGTGGAGCAGCATGTATGTGTAGTAGGCTCTACAGCCTACACGGTGCAAGTAGCTCGAAAATTATTGGTCGTTTAAAGTTACTCACCCAGGTTACTAGCGGCTAAAACTCGCCCCGTGTACAGGCACTTTCATGGAATAATGAAAGTCGACGCGAACCCATACATGTGGTGCTGTTTTAAGCTCCCGGATCATTTTTTTAGCTAGGATAATTTTTTAGCTCGGATCATTTTTTTTAGCTCGGATCATTTTTTCATCGTACTTTACCGTGGCTTCGATTTCAAAATTAGTTTTTCAGTCCCGGCACACACAATTTAATATTATAGTGATCGCTGCAGTATATTTGCCCTTACAGGACTTGCCCATGCAGTTGGTACTTTCAATGATGAATTAGTTCATCTTCATCACTCCGTATTTTCTATATTACGATAGGAGATAGAATTGATCTTCCAATCACGTTGAGCAAGTGCCTGGTATTAATATAATATACGAAGTTGTGCTTAGTATAGATCTGGGATAAAAATGAAAAATAAAATTTAAAAAAGTTCAAAAAGCAATAAGTTGAAAAACTAAAATCCTTCCAAAAATCTAAGGAACCGGCACTAAAAAGACGTAAAGCATAATTACCTTCACAAGATTTTTATTATTGTTTAAACTTTAATAATCTATGACGATATTGTATGCTTGATCAAAATGTTCTGCATGCAGTAGACGATAAATAATACTATACGTTTAAAAATTACTTTTTAAAGACAACACTTCTAAAGAATCCAGTGTTTCCAATGTTACAGGTGTAAAATGAATTTCTAATTTTATTTTCGAATATTAAAAAAATTAATTTTTCAATTTTTTAATATATGAAATTATTACTTCTGTCAATTGATTCATGCATTGCCTCCAACTTCACACAAGTGTGCAAAATTTCAAATCAATTGGACAGGTAAAAGTCTGTCAAATACCAATTATAAGATTTGTAGCTGACAAAACTATTTTTTCAGTTTTTTTAATATTGAAAAAAATTTTTATTCCTAAAATTATTTATTTTGTCATTTGATTCATGCATTGTCTCCAACTTTACGCAAGTGTGCAAAATTTCAGATCGATAGGATAAGTAGAAGTGTATTAAATTTCGATTATAAAATTTGTAGCAGACAGACAAACAAGAAGTAAAGTTAAAGAGAAGTGTTGAAAAATGGAAATGTTTAAGTTTTAAGGGAAAGCCACCAACCACCAACGCCAAATAAATGATCGCCCTGGCAACTCGCTACAAGAAGCTCTTCAAAGACGATCAAGAAACGCCAGCTGCCGCAAGTTACAAGTCCATAAAGCTGAAGCAATCTGCCGCTCTATCGCCATATCGAAGCTCCATAAAATTAAAGAGCTCGCCAAGTAAAGAGATAAAGTTCAACAGATGCCTTCAGCTGTTCCAGGCGCCTATGAGACACGGAGCTTTTACGCGCAAAATTTAAGGCTCACCAATGCCGTCTCAAAGCGATGCCGAGGCGAGAAAATGGCGACAAACTGAGACATCGTTGTTAAGTTTTTGCGCATACATAACGCCGTAGCAAAGTGAACTTCTTTCTTTCGCCATATACTATTTATTTATACACCAGAGCCACTGGCATCTCGAGTGTATTTATTTTTTAGAAGCAATGGTCATTTAATAAAATTTAGTGCACTTTTTGATCAAAGGATTTTATTAATGGGGCCGTTTTTCGGACTTACCCATCGGTTGATGTACAAAAATGTGTCTTGCTGCGTTATTTGCTATTAACAAAATTGTATTAATGTATTTCCTTTCTGTGGTATTTTTTAAATTATGGATTATTTATGAAATTAAACGTTGACTGGTTTAACCTCAATTTCAATGATTCAAACGAAAAGACATGTAACGCATCTCAAGGGTATGAAGTGTGAATGATTTTTAAAAAAATACTATAGTCGGCTGTTGATTTATATTAAGACAGGTTTTAATTTTTGACAAAAAGAAGTCATCAGACGAAATCTCTCTGCTTGAATATGAGTTTCTTGAAGATCCCAGCAGCCGTCGACCTCCGGTCGTTTCGGATATTGTCTTGGAAAATCTTCATTTCGGAAACTATTTCCTCGTCCAAGATTTTCATTTAGATGTTTGAAGCACTTTTCAGCTCATGCATGGCTTACATTTATCACAAATTTAATTCTTGGAGAAAAATATTTGTGAATTATATACAATGGACTTGTCGTGAAATTTATTTGTAGTCAAATTTATTTACATATATTTGAATTTCACTAATTCGAAGAAAAATCGAATCCAAGCAGTCAATTGACAGAATTTTGCGGTCTTAATGCACTAAGGTTCTTGTCACTACAGAGATGATAAAATCTGCATCTCTCTGTAGAATAAAAACTCTGAGGGGTCACATATTTCATGACAGCAAAAATATGAGATTTTTGTACTAATTCTATAAGCTCTTGTTTCAATGCATCCTTCAATTATACGCACTAAAAATTGTTCCACTGAAAGTGCTTAAGGGTATTTTTGATAAACGCAAAGCGAACAGCTTCTACACGCGTTTCAAAAATTGGAACCTTTGCGCATGACGTCGCCTGTTTTTGGTAACGCAGGAAAGGCGAAATCATATCGACACAGAACTCTGGCCATTTGTTTCAAAGTGCAGCTGCTGGGTCCATGCAAATTTGTTCTTTCAAAAGGTCCTTTATTTTTGAGCCTTGAAGACGGTCGTACCGAAGGCTGCTTTATATTTCCGTGTTCGGCTCCGGGCCGATGTCCTCATTTACATTTAATGAAAATAGCCGACTGATCTCCTTAGATGTAACCGAATCTGTGCAAAACACTTTTCGTGGGAACGGGCCACGTGCTGTGACAAAAATCTGAAATTTGAACTGAACGTGTTGCGTAGATTTTAGGCTTCATAAGAGCGACGACAGGAATAAAAATTTGAAAGAATTTCTTTTTGATAAATGCTGCTTCATAATATTTTCACGTTAACGGCTTATATATCATTCAGGGCGCTCTAACTTTCATTGAATAAAATTATCGCAATTGAAGGCATTACTTATCTTTGATTTATAATCTCCATAGAAATAAGATGATCATAACATGAGTAGTTCGGTTCTAAGTCAATCTACCGGAAAAGGTAAATGTGTAGCGTCCTCCTCCAGCCATGACAAGCCAATTTGACAATATAAAATGTAGAATTGCCTGCATGACACCAATCAATATGACAATCAACATAAAATGTAGGATTGCCTGCATTAAACCAATCAATGACTTAATTAAACACAATTTGCTAACATGTACATTTTAAGCTCGTGTTCAAAACGTGTAAAGTGAAGCACATTTTTTGGTAGAACTACAATAAACTGTTACTATTGTACTGCTGCAAGCAATATAATCGAACAATTTATTCGTTATGTTTTCAAGTTCCAACACCAGCTGTTTCTGTTGTTAACATTTCACAATGTTTGTCAATAAATTTGAAATTTATTTTTCATTCACAACGCATTACGTACTCCTTCGACAACTGACATCTATGAACCGGAGAAACATCAGTGAACACAACCAAGTTAAAAAATATTCAGATATTGTTCTCTGAAATTTAAGTAGAAGTGATTTCTTTTCACGGATAATAAATTTCCATAGAGGTTGAAGAAAATATTTATCGTAAGATAACAAAAAAATACACTTTCAAGTATATGTGAAATTTGTCCGATCGTTAATGCGTTATTTTCCAATATTTGATAATATAACAATTACCCTACAAGGAGAAAAATTGAAATCGTTGAAATGCTGATAGTGTGATGAATATTATAGGACTACCTAACTGAAATTCTGGAAAGAGATTCATTGCAAGGCATTTTTGTTAGTGGGCCCAGAGGCACACACTATTTTATATTATAATGATCGCTGTAATTAAATCTTAAAATATATTGTTTTTTTTCTACGCTTAGGTTTAATTAAAGTTTTAATATTGAAGTTCGTCAG